ACATACACACACACACACACACACAGAGAGACACACACACACACACAGAGAGAGAGACACACGCACACACATACACAGAGACTCACACTCACACACACCAGTGCCACCTCATAGCAGAACTTATACTGATCCTGCAGGAGAAACACACACAGAGAGAGAGAGACACACAAATACACTCACACTCACACACAGAGAAAGACACACACTCACACTCACTCACACACAGAGAGAGAGACACACACTCACTCTCACACACACACACACACACACAGAGACACACACACACACACACACAGAGAGAGACACACACGCACACACATACACAGAGACTCACACTCACACACACCAGTGCCACCTCATAGCAGAACTTATACTGATCCTGCAGGAGAAACACACACACACACACAGAGAGAGAGAGAGACACACACATACACTCACACTCACACACAGAGAGACACACACACACACACACACTCACACACAGAGACACACACACAAACACAGAGAGAGAGAGAGACACACACACACTCACACACAGAGAGAGACACACACACACAGAGACACACACACACACTCACACACAGAGAGAGAGAGACACACACACACACACACACATTGCACATCCTAATCAAAGACTGTCTGCCACTATTTAACTTCAGCTGACAAAGTCCATCTACATTAACGCAACAGACATGAAAGGAGTGTGTGTGTGTGTGTGTGTGTGTGTGTGTGTGTGTGTGTGTGTGTGTGTGTGTGTGATCTATTTGAGCTGCTAATTAAGAGCAGCAGCAGATCTCGCCGTCTCTATTGCGTCAGAAATATTTCTGTCCAGCCGGTGAACAGGAAACACTCGCCGTATTTGAGGCTTCCTGGACATCTGTTGAACTTCACAACCGCCATTACCCACAATGCATTTCACCGTATCATGTGTCTTGCGTGCTTTAGTGCTTTACTTCGGTGATGTATTAATATTTGAATAAATATTTTTTATTTTACTTTTAATAATTTTGTTTTTGTAATTTTTAGTAAAAAAAAAAAATGTCCCGAAACGTTCATAGTTTTTTTTTTTTTTTTTGTAGTTGTACAGTTTTAGCTATTTTATTACTTCAAGTTAAACTAAACAAAATTGAGATATGTTGCATTGGCAACAACATTTTTTTTATTTCATTTCAACACACATTATTTATGTATTATGTATTTATGTATTATTTATTTTATTTCAAGTAACAAAAATTTTTTTTTTTTATGGTTTTGTTTTAGTTTTGGGTTTTTTATGTGCATATATTATGTTTGTTTGTTTTTCAGTTTCAGTTACAAAATGAGTTACAAAACAAAAATGAGATATATGTTGCATTGATAACAATTTTTTTTTTTTATTATTTTATTTCAGTTAACAGTTATTTTATTTCAGGGGTAACACTTTGCAATCAGGATCATTAGTTAAAGGGGTCCTATTATGCTCTTTTACAAAGTCTTGATTTTGTTTTGGGGGTGTACTAGAACAGG